TATGAATTCCTAGCTGTTTTCGACATAGGTGATTCCCAAAAGACATCTATAGCAGGCGTGATCGTAAAAACAAAAAGCAAGGATCAGATGTGCCTACAGCAGCTTTCATTCACGCTTTTCCTAGAAAAAACGTGCATTATCAGAAAATCCGAGGCAAATCAAGGAATCTGAAAGTGCATGGATATCCTCGTAGAGTGTCTAGCCTCTTTCTTCGTAGACATTCTAACATCACGATATCATCTCCCATCGTCATTAAATTTTGGCGGCTCTTGGGCCTCGCATTTGTCAACGAAGCAACACAAATGACGTCCGAAAAAAAACGGCCGCCAAAGAAATGTGGGCGCAATGAATAACATGCGTGGGATAAGAATGTGTGCGAAAGCACTTTCGGTAAACGGACTCCATCAGGCATCTCGCCTTGAAAAATCTTCCCGTGTGAAAAGGTGGTCTCGTTGGAAGACGAGAAGCTTAGCCCACGCACCACCACTCCCGCAAGTGCAACCAACCCCCCTCCCCCATCTTTCAAAGGTGATAAACTGATACCTGGCTAAAAGACCAAACATGCATTCGATTGTTTTGACGATTACGAACAGAGTTGGGTTAGAGTTGTACGGGGGGGGGGGAGGAATCCCTAAGCTATCAAGTCTATTTCATGGACTTTTCCCTGCTACCGCACATCTTGTAGACTGAGAACTCCTGTATTCGCCTTCGCCAGCTCACAACGCGTTGGCATTTCTCTGCGTAGTGCTCAGGTTTGGTTCGATATAATCATTGATCTTTGGAAACGCAGGGATCGGAAGATCCTACATACACTCCTTATCCCTGAGACTGAGCGGGCGTGGCATAGAACGGGTTACCCCATGTTGAGGCAAGTGTTTAGACACGCCTACCCCATCTCAGGGATTGCGAGGGTAGCTATGACAGCACCTGCGAATTTGCCAAGTGGAGAACATTTCGATTATTAGAGGATTCAATGGCATTTCTATGGCTTTTCCTGACATCTGCTCGAGTGGATAATTATAATTTTTTGCCAGATGACGCCTCATGACCAGTGCCGAAGTCATTCAAACCAAGGTCTCCCGTGCTTTCTCCGGATATTGAACTCAAGGTCCGATTAGCCACGGTCCTTATAAAGAGCTCATTCCTGAATTCACGTTATGACTCTTTCGCACCCTTTGACGCGCCGGCAGCTGCTGTCATTTATCTGTCTGCTTCCTCCTTTTTGTGACATCAGCATTGCGAAATTTCGAGCAGTCACGTAACCACATGAAACAAAGGTTACCGTGCCTCTACGAACTAAGCTGTGGAAAATATGAGAGTTCGAGCTCATGCTTGATGCGGGTTTTCATCGTCCCATCTTCTGGCCGATCTGGTGATGTCAACGCAAAATCTCAACTCTCACGTTCGCTCCAGTAATCAAGTTAAGACGATGTTAGAAGACACAATAAACACCATTACCCTGCACATGTTCAGAAAGTATTAGGATGAATACGGGTATTTACGCGAGGAAACTGCACGAATTCGTAGACTGTTTATGGATCTATTCGTTGGCGATAATAGATGACGTTAATCTCGCTATTATAGTTCATGTGGAGCATTAACATTTTGCCCATTATGTTCTATATTAATTATATCGAGGGACAAGACTATGTGCAAATAATGGATAATGGTTTTATACAACGTTTAGACTTTTCTATCATTTCTCAAAGTGCTATGTGAATGGTTCATGGGAACAAAATAGCGTTCCAAACACCCCTTACCTTTTTGGGATCAGTCGTCTGAGCAAATAAGAGCTACACATTTACATGTGAACACTGGGAAGAAGCATTGCTTCATCAGGAAATTCCATTTGGCCCAAATAATCACAAGGTGTTAATTTTGATCCTGAAAACATGCATGGCACCAGAAACCTTCGTTGATGTTCCATGTTCAGTTACTGGATTATCTCATTTGTGATGAATGGACGCAGCCTTCATCTAAACGAGAGGGGTCCGGAACCAGGGTACATCAGTGGTTAGGGGATTTTTGTTGAGTTCCCTGTAGCCAAACCCCAACTACCGTCCGGCCTCTGTCCCTCCCCATCGGCTCTGAGCAGGGCGGGAGGGAGAAGGGTGGAAGGGGTAAGGGGGGGGGGGAGGGGTATAGTAGTACGCATGAAGCAGGGAAAAAACAAAAGGGTCCGGGGGGTAAGGGAAGCAACCACCGCTCTTATTCAACGCAAAAAGGTACATGCGACCTCCCACCCTCTCAACAATGACCAGGTACGACACCCCCTCCTTACAACGTCCGTGAAGCGAGAAAAATCAACTATCAAAATAAATTATTTCCAGCCCAAATACGACTCCCCTCTCCTGGCGGCCAAATACGACCCTGCGACCCTAATGAGTTATACACAACAGCGATGAACCCTGGCCCGATCACCTAAACGCAATATCCCGCACGCGGCGCTCTTTGTCGAACCTAATTCGAGTCGTCCCCTGCAGTGCTTTTGCGAGACCAGGAATTCCCCCTCCTCCTTTCAAACCACCCTCTTCTAGACCTTACGTTTCACCCCTTCCGCAAATTCTACAGCTTCAGCACCTCGATCAGACTAGAGGGTAATGTCAAGAATTAGTGCGGAAAATGTGAAGGCAAAAAATTTAAAAAATGTGCAAGTGTAAAATGTAAATTAATGGTAATGTCAAAAATTACTTATTTTTCACGATTTGGCAACTTCATTGCCTAAAAAGTGACGGAAATCGAACGCGAGTAGAATTTATGCATGATGTCTCACAGATCGTGAAGTTCGCCACCAAATCATGAAAATTTCATTGGCAGAACATTTCATTTGCCACGCGAAATTTTGAGATTGAATAACATCATTACTTATGGACCAATATTTCCAGGTATCCGCGGGAGGAAAGTGCAATACAACGGCTTTTTCGTCGTTTTCATGCGGGACTGCATCTGCAGTCAGCAGCAAATAGGACCAGAAGCTCAGAATCTTCTTCACTATCCTCGTCAAGGAAATATGTTATAACTATTACAGACCAAAAAGTAATGGTGCAGGATTGAATCACAAATCATTTCCTGAGATATTTTTCTCGCTGGTAGCACTAATGGCATAGTGTCTGATGGGAGAAGTGAAAGGGAATGAACCTATGAGTTCTGCTACAATTTCGGGCATTATTTTGTCGTCTGTAAACGTTTGTGGATTTCCATTTACTAATTATCTAGTTACTGCTAAGTAAAAAGTGTTCTCTATGTCTTCTAATGGCAGAATTGTCAGAACGAGTTTAAACAAGTTGAGAACACACTACGCATGGGTTGTACCGGGGAAAAGATGAATGCGGCTTGCAGTGAAAGTAGCCCATTCAAAAGGCAGTTGAGCACGATGGTGTGACCTCCTTAGCCTTAAAATTGCTAGTTAGAGCGCTGTATAGTGGGGGGAAATTGTCGAAAGAATACGAAGTGAAGCGGTAAAATCCTGGCCGAAAATAAAAAGCCGTCCGTCTGCACGAGTGACTTGAGAAATCGCAATATTTCGACGAGGTTTCCCGTAGGCAGTCTCACGGCCTACGACAGCTGTACGTCCTGCCACATGCTGCTACCATGTATGCATGCAGCATACACGGTCGGCCACCCCCTTGCATTTACCAATACCTGTCGCTTATAATTGGACTTAGCAAATGAAATGAATACGAGCGAACAGAACGGTCATCCATATGTGCGGCGGGCCAGGCGCGCCGGGCGTTGTGGGACCGTAAAGCTTTGGTGCGCCTTGATAGATCCCCTTAATAAAGCCGGCACTTCTCGGTAGAAACCGGCTATAGCGTCCCTGCCCAGGACTCGGAATCTATCCTACCAAGAGTATTGATCCTAGTCCGTCTTGGTGTTTATCGTGGCCAACTGCGCTTGAGCATTGCACTGGTTGGGTATGACCGTTTGCTGATGCGCTCCAAAGCCCTGTTACAAATCCTGCTTTCCGTAAGCTCCTATGTTTATTTCGGCATACAGTCGGAGTTTTAGTTAGTATACGTTTTCTGAGGCGATACACCACCTTATATCAGCAATGCCCATGTGGAGACACAGGACAAAAATCCCGAATGTCCCCCGTTCAAAGCCTTCGCGAACTTATATGGTAGTCTTGGTTGCACTGGAAAGTAACGTTAAGGTCCTTTCCAGGATGCTAGATTGTACGCAGTGTGGCGTCGTCATCAATGTGCAGTACGGCAGCCGTAAACAGGGCGGGAGAGCCTACAGCGCACGTCGTAGGCGCTGAACGAGTGGGATATTCATGTTTGAGGCTCAAATTCAAAGCACGGAGCAGCATACAACCGGAACTGGTATCGTAGTTTCCATCCTAGGTTTGAGAAAGTGGGATAATCATGGGTAGTCCTGATCAAGCCGTTGACACTATTCATTTCTTCAGAGGCAACAGGTTTTGGACCAGGTTTCAGACCCATTACAAGCTGGCCCTAAGCAGTATAGAGCCTTTTTAGGCAAATGCTTACGGTAAACTACGAACTCTTACACAGTCACATGAGACCAAACACCTGCCCACTTGCCCACCAAGTGTTGGAGCAGTTTCAACCCTAGTTCGCGTCTCATTTGCATATTTGTTAAAGGCAAGCGGTATGATAAATTCCCAAAACGTGTAAGATTAATACGAATAGCAGGACAGGATTCCACGCAGGCGCCGCGTAGCGCTCTTTTCAAGGAAGGTACTCTTATAGCGCCCTAACAAGCTGCAACATTCCGACCAGGACGCCCACCGCAAACGTCCGCCCACAAATGTCCGACCGATGCTGGTGCTCGTATCGCTTCAAACGAAGTATTAGGTTGGCAACTAAGTAATTGCGGATTTCACTCATAGATGGTTTCAGTTGAATTTTTAGGTTTGCTGACGTAGAGCAAGTGTAAAACTTATTTTGTTATTAGACAGTTGGCAATTCAGCTATCAATCGGTATAAAAAGTTTTTTGATTGGTTGCATAGTTTTTGTTTGGCGTTCGTTGAAAAATGGAACATCAAAAGGAACATTTTCGTCATATTTTACTTTTTTATTTCCGCAAAGGGAAAAACGCATCGCAAGCTCACAAAAAGTTATGTGCTGTTTATGGTGACGAAGCCTTAAAAGAACGGCAGTGTCAAAATTGGTTTGCCAAATTTCGTTCTGGTGATTTTTCACTCAAAGATGAAGAACGCTCTGGTCGTCCAGTTGAAGTTGATGACGACCTTATCAAAGCAATAATCGATTCGGATCGTCACAGTACAACACGTGAGATCGCAGAGAAGCTCCATGTATCACATACATGCATTGAAAATCACTTAAAACAGCTTGGCTATGTTCAAAAACTTGATACGTTCCTCGAATGAATCTTGTAAAGAAAACCCACTTTAACACGCAACGCGCATGTAACACATTCGGATTTGCTTAGAAAGGTAAGCGAAAATGATCCCATTCTTTAGAACGATGAAAAATGGGTTGTTTACAACAATATCGGAAAAGATCGTGGAGCAAGCCAGGTGAACCAGCTCAAACAACATCAAAAGAAGGTTTTGTTATCCGTTTGGTGGGATTACCGAAAGAATTGCCTACTTTGAACTCTTACCACGATCAATTCTTCTTCTGTCTGCATTGAACAACTAACGAAATTAAACAATGCTGTTGAAGAAAAGCGGCCCGAATTGACAAATCGAAAAGGTGTGGTATTCCATCATGATAATGCAAGGCCACACACATCTTTGGCCACTCGGCAAAAATTATTGGAGCTTGGTTGGGATGTTTTGCCACATCCACCATATAGTCCTGACCTTGCACCATCAGATTACTTTTTGTTTCGCTCTTTACAAAACTCCTTGAATGGTAAAAATTTCAATAATGATGATGATGTCAAATCGCACCTGATTCAGTTTTTTGCTAATAAAAACCAGAAGTTTTATGAACGTGGGATTATGATGCTGCCTGAAAGATGGCAAAAGGTCATTGATAAAAATGGGCAATACATTACAGAATAAAATTATTTCGTTCCATGAAAAAATTGTCATTGATATTCTAAAAAAATCCGCAATTACTTAGTTGCCAACCTAATATTGTATGAAGCGAAGGGATTGATATGAAGCGGCTGCGGTGCTGCATGGATATATGAGTACATACATGCAGCCGTACCTACCGTAGCGGTTATTGGCACGATGCCAACGGGAAACTCGTCCAAAATTGCTTCCTATGTCTGTAGAACAAAGCTTTTTTGCAGATTTCGGACCGTTTCACTTCGCTTTTTCACCATTTTCCCATCACTAAGCACCCTGCTACCATGTCATACCGATTACCAAATTATCGTGTCTCATGCCTTTAGGCATTGGTGTGGTCATTTTGACAAAGGCTCAAGTTTGTTCCTGTTCAGCAGATCTGGACAGGAACGGGTACATTCAAAATCAGCGTCCAAAAATGCGTCAAAATTGCTGTACATCTCCAGATAACTGTTATCCTTCAACTAACCATCCTTTCCTGATGAATCACAACATCAAGAGAAGACCACAGTTTTATAAAAAGAGCTACTAGGGACTGCGGTCAGTACACCATGGGAAGTCTCAAAGAACAGATCGGCGCGCCTAGAACTTAAAGGACATCATTACCACATTCAAGGCTCCGTGCACTCCCGAAAGTACACGCAAAGACTCCTCTTTCGGCCATTCGTGTACCCCCGGGAGTGCAAGCGCCGTTCCACGTGTTGTCTTGTGGTTTTTCTCCTTTTCACTAGAAATCATTTTCAAGTAATGACGCAAATTGTACACAGATCTACAAAAACGACAAAAGGATTTGGCGGTTCTTCGTCCGCCTCGAAGTGCACTGAAAGACAAACAGAAGGTTCTGGCGATGTGACTTCGCCGCGATTTGTAAAAGAGCCCTAACTAATCAAAGATACAGCGAATGCTTCACTTAAGAGCACAAGCATAAGCTCCACAAGAGAAGGATCAGCCAGCAAGGGCGCGGGAACAAAGCTAAAGACGGAATAGGATTTCGTGACAGACGATTTAGAAATACGCAATACTAGAATGAAGAATAAAAATAGAAAAATTAATCTCAGAAAATACTTGATGACCGCATGCAAGAAGTTTCTGATCTATTTCCTTCGGAAATCTCGAAACTTGTGCAAATACTACCATTTCGACTTATTCTCAGCGAGTTATTGTTGTAACAGCTGCAACAACGCTTTGTTTGTTGAAAGACGAAATTTTACTCAAAACAGGGTTATTTGCAAGTTGTGGGAGCTATGCAGAGCAGTCGTCTTTGATGGATGGATTTCGAAGGAGATGGGGGTGGAAATCGTCAATCCTTCAATCTACGCAAAGAGACATCGGTCTCACTACTACTATTCACTACGCCGGTCGTTTTTTGTGGCGCAGTTCGATTTGGGAAGAAGGGGGGGGGCATTCCGTACCTTTTCCAGTTGCTTCGTTTGATCATGTTAAAGTGCCTTCAAGTAAAGGTCGTGCTTTGGTGAGACCTTCATTGGTAAGACCTGTAGATTCCTCTGCAGCTGAAAAATGCTACGAAATGGCCACTTTGGTTGCAGGAACTTGCAGCTGTTCGGAAAAAGGTGGCATGTACGCGCTGGATACAGTTTTGTCTCCCCCCCCCTTCCCACCAAGTTGAACTGCGCTCCTCTTCTCAGTATTTCTATGGGAACACTAGAGGAGGAGAGGCAGGGCAGAAGAACTGAATTGCGCAAGTGCTCACGAGAACGGTGATCTTTCAGTATATTTACCTTTATACGATCTTCTAACATCATTAATCACTTTACCCATCGATGAAACGGCTTAAGTTCCCTCGATTACACTGAATATTGGTTAGGATGAAGTCCATTCTTTACAGTGGGTATCCTCACACACCTGACCCGATGAAGAATGGCAAGAATTCAAGAGAAGAGCATTGATGCTGAAAGCGAGGAGAAATTGTAAAGTATTCCTCAGTGTGATTGTGAAAAGATCGGTCTGGGACGAAAGGTCAAGGAACGGGCTTATTAGTCGATACTGCATCCAGCAATGAATTTCACAGAAATAGTTCAAAAGTGACGTATAGTCTCTTTCAATGCGGATGATAGGGAGGGGGCAGTTCGGCGGCGACGGAGGGGGGCATTTTGCACTTTCACTGCTTCACTACTTCCGGTTTACAAGTCTCACTCTGGTGAAACTTGTGAACTCTTGTGAAGCTGGAGCAAGCTCGTCTAGCCACCATGGTAAAACGTGTCAACTCAAGAAAAGGCTATCTAGATGGGTCGACACATTGATGGAAAGCAAAATGCCCCCTCGCCCGTCGCCAAACTGCGCGATGTGAGAGTGTTTACGCGGCTTGCATTTGGGCCCAGTGCCACCCAATTCTTTTTCTATTTTTTCTTTTCGGCAAACAACAGAACTGCTTCATATCCTTGGTGTCAGTCCTTATTCACCGTCACTTATCCGCTTCAACAACTCGTGGAGAATGTGTATGGCGGTGCGCAAAATGCGGCCGCGCGGCCACGCCCCATCATCCGCAGCGAACCAGACGATACAACTCTTCAAAATAATCGAGAACAATAGTTAGCAGCGTACCTCAGGGATTTGAAACCGTATCTGCCGTGGACTACGATGAGTTGTGGGAGTTGATTCAGTGGGTTGACGATTTGATCTGAAAACTATTCCATTTACTCACAGCAACAAGCTGACATGACTGATTTTTCAATATGGTCAGCAAATTCAGATAAAATCGCAATTAAAGCTGAAAAAGGACAACAGATTCCTGAGGACCAGCTTCGATTCTATCATAAGAGCCAAGGGAGGTGGCGGTGCGTGGTGGCAAGGTGCGTGGTGCAACAATCTAACCACTCCGTGCGGTCGAAAACGAACACTGAACGCTTTGCCGCTTGAGGCCAAAACGGCGTCCTCGTACTGCTGCGGAGACAGTGAAATGTAGCAGGATCGTGCAACTACTGAAGGATATGAATGCTAACTTGCACAGTACAGCGTACAGGCTCCCGCAAGTCATAGCATGGGTTAATCGCATCCAACGCATCTGAATGGAAGTGCAGTGAGTACCGCATCCCGAAAAGGGATTGATCAACGGCGAGATCTTCCCCTCTTTTTCCGCCTTATGAGGGGCGAAAAGAGTCTCTATTCTCTAAGCGCTTGATCATAATGTCTCTTCTGCAATGGAAAACTTCGGAAGGCAAAGTTTCTTGACGTCCACAGCATAACTGTCCAAAAGCAAATGTCCGCCTCAAATCGAGAAACAAAATGCGAAAAAAGTTAGATGCAGAGGCACATCGGTTGTTAGGGGAAATCTCCATACAACGAGGGACTCGTTAGCTGGGGGGGGGATCGTAATGTTGGTCGCCTGAGAAAGGGGGTCTAGCTGGGTTGAGAAAATTTCCTTTGATGTTTGGTTTTCCTTGTTTCACGTAAAGAGGTGAGGGGCGTGCGTATTTTCTTCGTTGTTGGGCGAGGAGAAGATCGTTATTCCCTTGCATTCCGTCTGAAGAAGGTGATTTGACTTTTGCAGTTTTCAGCGTTACATATGGCTATATATCCGCCGGCCCCAACCAGAAAACCGCTTCCCCATTCCCGACGCTGGATCAGCCCAATTTTTGGGAAAAAGAGGTCAGAATCTTGGGAAATTCCGGAAAAAGTGGTAAGGAAAGTTGGTAGAAAAAATCCAAAAGTTGTAAAAATCGGATCCTGCATCCGAGCATAATAGCAGCAAAAATGGAAAGCCCGTCGAGAGAAACTAACCGGTCGTAGTTTCACTCGCGCTTCCCATTTTCACAACCCCCTCCCCGGCTCGCACTAGTCCGGTGAGGAAGGAAAGAGTGGGGGGGGGGGCGTACCAATCCCCTAAAAAGTGGGGAGGATCGTACGGACCCGACCAAAATCCCCAGCTAATGATGTGCCCTGGTTAGGATGGCGCGAATAAGCGCACAAGACGTGGCATACAGGGCAAACAGCATATTAGTTTGGGATATCTGGTCCGAAGCCCGTACGACCACACCTCTACCCGTTTTTTGGGAGTTGTACGCCCCCCCCCCTCACCAGCAGCCCAGCCCTGCTGTCCTTTCCTTCATTCGAATCGAAGGCCGTCGGCGGCGGGGGGGGGGGCATAGAGTACTTTTTACCCCAGCGAAAAAATTTCTGTCGTGTGTGGGGGAGGATATGATAGGTACGTGAAACAGGAAATGCACCAAAAGTCAACCGTCATTCCCACAAACGTCAAAAACTTAAACAGGACGCTCCCTCCCAAAAATGATCAAATACGACCACCCCTCCCTTTACAACGTCCATGAAGCGAGAAAAATCAACTATCAAAATAAATTTTTCTCAGCCCAAATACGACCCCCCTATTGGGGATTCCCCAACAACGATGTGCCCTGGTGTGGCAGCCGCCATTTCGCGCGATCACTCGGTTTGGAACAGTCCGAAACTTACACGAATTTGCCCACCGCGGATATACTGGGACGCGTCAGGAGTTGCTGGATCTGATGGGGCGCCAACTCAGTGTCACTCGTGTCTTCTGCCGGGGTCCTCTTAGCATTTACTCAACGAGAAGTAGACACACCAACTGTAAAAAACGAGCTGGGAGCTCGCTCCAAACCCCAGCTCCCCCCCCTGACGCCTTCAAGCGAGCAGCATATTGTACCCATTTCCACTTGAAATTGATGAGAACGCTGTTATCACAACAGTGGTGAGTTAGAGTCCCCGTAAGGTAGAGGACGTGTTAGGGGACGCGGACTGGAGAGCAGCCAGGGCTTTTCTCAATGCCCACGCTAACACGCACTCTCGTTGGCAAAAGAAATAGCTGTTTGGACAAAATGTTTGCCTCAGCCGGTCCGATCCCGTGCCTCGTGCTCCCCGGAAGAAGCGCTATCCATTAAGAACTATAGCAAAAAAACAGGTAACAAGGCAGAACAAACAACTACAAACGGTCCAAACACTGCCTTGAATCATTCGTAGAAATTTGAAAAGCGATTGGAGAAAAGCATGGGATA